CGGGAGATGGGTCTCTGGCGCCAATATGAGAGCAAGCGAACGAGCACATGCTGCTAGGGAGACGCTTGTGAGTGAGGCCCCGCGGATTTGAATCGTCATACAAGTACACATTCTCACGCGTGATCCACCAGAGAACCCCTGAGTCTCCCTGAAGTCTTTCAACAGGCAAGACAGGCAAACATGCGCCTAGGATACTCTTACGTACTTAATGTCCCTTGGCTTGATGCAACCAACGAGTCGCTAAGGCAGGGAGCTAGGTCGCTTGCAGTAGGAGAGCAGCTGATCGCGACCCGCCAGACAGGGAGTCAATTGGCATTGTGGCAAGTCCCATTTCCCCTCGCCTCTCCAAGCTAGAGCGTCTGTCGCCAATCAGCAGCGTGCTAAAACTCTTCATCAAACGGATGGCACGCTACCAGAACCTTGCGCGTGGCCCCCGGTCCTGATACTGCGCGTACGAATCAGTCGCTTTGCGACGGGCTGCGAACAAGACGAGACACGCTTCATGCGAGAAAGATGCCTGGCGCTCAAGGCACCCTCGTGTTGACTGTCTTGGAATGGTAACAAGGCCGAACCAGGACGCGAGCAGGTGTGACTGGCAGGGTCTCGAGCCCAGACCGAATGTAAGGCCTGAATAGAAATACATAGCAACGAAGAAGAGTCTAGACGCAAGCGATTGAGTTTTTTCCGTCTGTCTAAAAACCACCTGGCTGGTAACGTGTTGCCCAGGTCACGTTGGCACTGGTCAACCAGCCAGACAGTCCAAAGAGACACCTCTCGTGCCACGATGGCCTCAGCTTTCCCGTCAGCTCGGCGCCATTGAGGCCAACCGTCCTATCATTGCGACGTATCGCGACGCAGGCTACAGCAGACGGCGGGCCTTGATGCCTCAAAGGGTATAGCTTCCCCTGGCCTGCTTCATATCTGAACGAGGGGGAGGGTCGCCTTTCAGGATAGCTCGAAAGCCAAGCCTATCCCAAGCTTCCCCATCTAGGCTGCCGTACCACAAGGATCACGGCCTTGCCGACTCGGTCCTGCATGTCCACCCTGGCTCCATCATGCTGCCGAGCGTCCGACCTATGCCCCATCTCGCCCAGTCGGTGCGCCGTGATCCTCGGACGTCATTTCGCCCACCTCTCTGCTACCGTTCCCGACGTAGTGTGCAGTTTGAGGTGCTTGTCAACCCGAGACGCAGAGTCTGTTTGCTTATCATCTCCGCCTTGCCCATCCTCGCTGCTCATGCACATGCCTTTCCTCTTCCCCATTCCCTTTCGAGCCGACATCGACAACCCCTCCTTCGATCGCCCATCCCTCCCTTCGACAACAGCCTGCCGCATGCCAATTGACACGCAGAGCTGAGCTCGTTCATCGTCTCTTTGTCTCCTCTCCCTCCACAGAGCGACACCTCACCACAATCTCCCCCAGGTCAATCCGATCGTCACCATTCACCATGTCTCACGTCCTCTCTCAGGACCCGGGCGCTCGCGACCCATACGCCGATCAATATGGTCGTGACATGTACTCCTCCGGTTACGAGAACGGCACCAACGGCGGCAAGAAGAGCTCTTTCGACATGCACCGTCGTGTCTCTGGCGTCGACGGCACCGCCGACAACGTCCTCGAGTCTCTCGGCTACAAGCCTGAGTTGTCGCGCAACCGCTCCACCAAGCAGGTTGCCTTCATGTCCTTCGTCCTCGCCTCTATCCCCTACGGTCTCTCTACCACGCTTTACTACCCTCTTGTCGGTGGCGGTCCCGTCACTATCATCTGGGGCTGGCTCGCTGTTTCCATGATCATCGTCTGTGTCGCTGCCTCTCTCGGAGAGATCACCAGTGTTTACCCCACTGCCGGAGGTACTGACTTTCCCTCCGTAATCGCCTCGTTTGAGTGCTCGTGTTGTTGGCGATTCAATGCCGCCCGCTCTCGAGCGCTTCCAATCGTGATCATTGCTGACTGCTCGTGACCAGGTGTCTACTACCAGGCCTTCATGCTCGCACCCGCTTCTTGGCGTCGTGTTGCCAGTTGGATCTGTGGTTGGGCTTATGTCGTGGGCAACATTACCATTACTCTGGCCGTCAACTTCGGCACCAGCTTGTTCTTCGTCGGCTGCATCAACGTGTTCGAGTCCGAACCTGGTGTCGGTATCTTCCAGTACGAGAACTACCAGCTGTACCTGATTTTCTTGGCTATCACGATTCTTTGCAACCTCGTGTCAGCCCTCGGCAACCGTTGGCTTCCCGTCCTTGACGTATGTTCTTCGCCCATCACGCCGTGGCCGCCGTCTTAGCTCCCGGTTGATGCATTTCACTAACCTGCCCTCAGACTGCCGCCGTCTTCTGGACCTTCGCTGGTGTCCTTGCCATTATCATCACTGTTCTTGTCATGGCCAAGGGCGGTCGTCGCGATGCTGAGTTCGTCTTCACCCACTTCGAGCCCACCTCAGGATGGCCTGATGGCTGGGCCTTCATGGTCGGTCTTCTCCACGCCGGTTACGCCACCTCGTCCACGGGCATGATCATTTCCATGTGCGAGGAGGTTCGCGACCCCTCAACCCAGGTTCCCAAGGCCATGGTTGCCACCATCTTCATCAACACTTTCGCTGGCCTCCTCTTCCTGATTCCCCTCGTTTTCGTCTTGCCCGACATCAGCGAGCTCGTCCTCGCCCAGCAGCCCGTGCCCGCCATCATCAAGTCCGCCGTCGGCTCCCCTGGTGCCGCCATCGGCCTCTGCGTGCCTCTCCTTGTCCTCGCCCTCATTTGCGGCATTGGCTGCACCACCGCTGCCTCTCGCTGCACCTGGGCCTTCGCCCGTGACGGCGCCATTCCGGGTTCCCGCTGGTGGAAGACCATCCACCCTAAGCTGGATGTTCCTTTCAACGCCATGATGCTCTCCATGGTCGTTCAGATTCTGCTTGGCCTTCTGTGGTTCGGCTCGTCGGCTGCCTTCAACGCCTTCTCTGGCGTCGGTGTCATTTCTCTGACTGCCGCTTACGCCACTCCCATTGCCATCAACCTGTTCACCGGCCGCCGTGCCGTCAAGGACGCCAAGTTCAGCCTCGGCAAGTTCGGCGTTGCTGCCAACGTCATTGCTCTCGGTATGTGTGCCATATGCCTGTTTCCAGTACGTCTTACCATTCGCAATGCTAACACTGTCCAGCTTGGTCCGCCCTCGCCATGCCCCTCTTCTGCATGCCTGCCACCATCCCTGTCACCCTGACCACGGTCAACTACGCCCCCGTCGTCTTCGTCTTCGCAACTCTCGTCTCGGCCGTGTGGTACATCATTTGGGGCCACAAGAACTACGCCGGTCCTCCTTCCAACGAGATTTATTGAGGCCAGGCCAACCAACCACTCCTCGACCCGGATACGATGATCGATCTCAATGTCTTCTGATGGAGAGGGCGATGATGAGGTCGAACTTTGTTTTGGGATACACGGGTCTTGCTTCGATCTTACCTCCTGGGTCGGGCAACGAGGACGTAGGCGGGGATTCCTGTGCAGCCTTTTCTTTACATAGACAATTGAGATACCCCAATGCTTTCAATTAATGCTCTGGCATCAAGATTTGTCGGTCTGTAGTTTGATTTGTCAGTCAGCTTGAAGCTTGGTCCTCTATCTTACGGATAATATTTGTATCTGCTTGAGCTGCCCCAGGCTCTCGAGAAATGGAGGACGTCAGATCAAGCTGTGGGGTCTCAATCTGTCAAAAGATAGACCGGAGGTGGACGACAAGCTACTCGCCAAAATCGGCGCAGCCAACTCTGAGCCGAGATCGCAACGGCGTCCAACTGCTTCAGATCGGACGCTATATTGTGCTACAGCTCTAGTGAGAGATTTCGTCTTCTTGACCGTGTTTCTTGGAGGCCAAATCTCCGGGAGGCGAATATCAAATCTTGCAGAATCAAGGAGCAGGCTGGGCCTGGGCTGTTAAGGCTACGAATGGTCCTCCTAGGTACGGAGGGCTATATCTCACACGTGTTCTATACCTGATATTCAACTGTGGATATCACTTACGAAGACGCCTTCACTGTACTCTTCCAATTGCTCTGACACCCTGGCATAGCATTGAACAAAGAGCCTTAGAGATCACGCAACGCACGAACTCACTCAAAACCCTTGCAATAAGTCTGATTTTGGCAGAGTACAGATAAGTTTGACTCGTAGGATTACATGGCTATAGCCGTTCATGGAAGCCAATGCACCACTGCCTGGTCCGAAGAACTTTCGCCTTGCATATCGCGCAGAAGGGAATCCACTTGGCCCATCCACACACCCCGCCAAAAAGACTTCACTTAGGGCTCGCCTCGGCATACAAACGATATCAACACCTGCAGGATGCTGGTCCGCCATCAATCCATTGGATAATGCATTGGCCAGGTGGTGGAGTGGTTAACACGTACCCCTGCTAAGGGTATCTCTCCGGAGGCGCAAGTTCGAATCTTGTCCTGGTCGTTCACTTTTGCTACTTAATCTATTGAATTCGAAACATCATTTTGTTACGTCTATCTGATTTTTTGCATGCGTTTTGAGAGGTGTGGACACAGCGAACACACGCACGGAGGAAATCTCCATCCTATTCTACTTCACCCACATATAAATGGCGTTAACTTATTTTTCATGATCCTGGCCCTTACCCCGGCGAAATATTTGATCGGGGAACAATTGTCACAGACGCACGCTCGCATACTTGTGAATTGTCTTGCCCCACGGATACGCAATTCAGTCCCATACCGTTCGTCTAAGTCACATATCTTTAAGAAGATAGGTGACTTCCGGAGGACATTGATGATATATGCAATCTCCATTCTATGATCAGGAGATAGTTAAATTATCACATCTTGACACCCTGGCTCAAATAGGTTTTGGTCCCATACTAGCTTGCCCCATCCTCTACCCTGACTTGATCATTCTGAATCTTCACAAACAACCAAAGAACTCTTCAGTAGAGAATGATGATTCCTTCAGCGATACTGCTGTTGTGAAAATCTGGGTTTTCCCTCCGCATTAGAGGTCCGCGAACCCAAGCTCGAGCACATATCCGAGGACTAGCTTGACGTGTTCAACGAGGTGGCCAATACGAATCTTATCCAGAGTATCCAACTCAGAGCCCTTCCATGGGTTCTGTGCAAAGGCACTGTCAGAGACATGAGCAGCGGGATATCCATACTTTGTTGCGGCAGCATGATCAGAGCTTGCAAAGCCACCCTCGATCTCAACCCAGGAGATAGAGCAGTACTGCGTTGGTCAGCTTTACGTTGCGGGGGTTCTATCAGACATCGTACCTCGCGAATCACTCGCTTAAGAAAGCCATTTAGAGGCTCGTAGGTGCCAGTGCTGACGATGTTGAAATAGTCCGTTGGAGCCTGTTCCGACAGGAAAGATCCCGCCATGTCTTGGTTCAACATGGCTGCAACCGATATGTTCTGGTTCTTGTATTGCTGGAAAATGTCGAGGCTGCCCTTCAGTCCGGCGTCTCCAGCAGCGTAGAATTGGAAAACTACACGATTCTTGAAGTCCGAAAGTTTGTGGTGACGTAGAAGGAGATTCAGGGCCTCGAGAAGAACAACGACGCCTGATGCATTGCTGTCTGCGCCCGCTCAGTATCCGCTCTTATTGGGTTGGCATCAGACTTACTTGCACCGGGAGCTCTTGCTGTATCCCGCTCGCTCTCTACGACAAATTGGTTACTTACATCGAGATGAGCTCCAACAATTACAGTTTTTCTTTTCTTGCTCCTCCCTTCTGAGACCTGCATTTCGATGCTGTTCTGTGGCCAGCTGTGCCTAAAGCGACCCAATTTCGTCACGCCGGGCAACCTCTTCATCTCCTGGTAGATCCAGTCAGAGGCAGCGACACCATGCTTCGATTGGTAATGTCGGTTCTGAAAAGTGACCAAGGCCTCCATATTGTTGGCTATTCTCTCCATGTCAATGCCGCGGATGAGGTTCTGTGTCTCTCGCTGTTGAACCATCCTTGTAGGATAATCCTGGTCCACATATTGGAGGTCTCCTAGCGGAGGGTCAATGAGATCCGTCAAGTCAAAGAAGGACCTATTAGGCTGCAGGTGTTAGCGCAGAACAAGACCAGCGAGTCCTGCGGTGCTCACCCGAAGGATCCTGGCTCTTGCTGCAGCATTGAGATGACGGAGGTCGCAAGGGCCAAGCTGGACGCGCGCATCTTGGCCACTGGACGTCGGGGATGCCAGTGTAGACTTGGGTGCCACAAAGACAGCGGCAGCAATGCCAAATATCATAGCACTGTACATGATGATGATTCGGGTACCTATTTCAGTTGGTGTTGTCTGTGCCGAGCTTTCCAGAATTGTGAGGATACTGTGTTCAAGAGAACATCTGCGGCCATTATTATGCCATGACAGGAACAAAAATGAACGTTTCACCGGGAAAACCTTGTAAAGTCCAGAGCTGGTATAAACTTCATGAGGCTCATGCACAAGATTAAATCGCGAGGATACATGATCACTGCATTGACGGCAACAAGGAAAGGAGATTGTGGGATGCAGTGTCGACGCTGTTCTTTAATGGTAGCTAAGCTCGCCTTAATTGGTGTATGAATAGGTGTTTGCTGCTGCTGAGACTCATTCAATACTTCATAGCCTGCTAAATCCTTCCTCGCTCCAAGAACATGTTGGGAATATCTACATGCTTCGCCCGAATATACTCGCACAGGTTCTTTCCCAGGCTGTCAAAGCTGCTGGTCGAGTTGAAACCGCGGTCCAGATGATCCTTCAACAAGAAGTGCACCGCTCGAATGTTGGGGAACTCACATCGATCGATCTGGTTTCCAACATCATCCTTGCCCAACATACTTCTCAACTGTTTAGTACCCATAATGGTCCTCAGCCAATCCCATTCGTCGTCGTGGCGAACAAACAGGCCCAGGTTGCAATTGGAACTCTTGTCGCCAGAACGTCCCATGACTACCCAGCCGATAGGGCCTCTTGTCGTGGGCCCAAACTTCTTAAGGTTGGCAGGGGAATCGGTCTCGTAACTGGGTTGCTCACGCGCGTATTCTCTCGTCACCACCGGTGACGGAATGTCCAGGACTCTGCCGTCTGGCAGATGCGCCGTCTCATTCACGAAGCTTTGTGGCAGCAGGCTGACCCAGTATTCAAAAAATGGCCTTCCGATGGCTGTGCGCATATCTGGCGCCATCGTGCTACCCGGATAACCCTGAAGAAGGTTCTCGATACAGAATCGCGCGAAGGAGCCACGATCCGAATCGACAAAGTTATTTCCCGAAAGCAGATCTGGGTCGCGCGTCTGGGCGAAAATTCGCATATCGACAGTGGCTTCTTCCTGGGATTGCGGATCAGAGGGGACATTCCCGGCCACCATGAATTTCAAGCAGGAGAAGCGCTTTATGTGGTCACCCATGAGTGCCTTCGTCTGGCGCTCAATCATTGCAGCTTTTTCAGCAATGTCAAGTCCCGTTAGGTAGAAGTGAAACTCGGCTTGCCAGCCGCCCTTGGCTGTGATACCAACTGATCAAATTAGTAATGTCCTAATCCTGCCAGCGCATGATGTACCTTTCGTCGTAGAAGGAGGTGGTAAACCCTTCACGCCTGAGACGTGCACGGCATTCTCGCCGATTTCCTGGAGATGCATGTCTTCGATGGAGGCTGTGACATCCGAGTTGTAATAAAAAGGCCCCTGAATCTCGTAGAGAAGCTGACTGGCGACAGTCTGCGTGTTGACCAGACCATGTTTGCCTTTCTCCATGGTGATGATGGCCTCTCCTTTTTCGTCGATGGCAGCGATGGGATCTCATACATGTCAGCGTTGGTCAAATGACCAGGCAACAAAACTTACATCCCATATCCGTGTCCTCGCCCTTCAGGTCCTTGAACCCAGAGTAGTAGCCGCCTGTGGCATAGGTGCTGCACTCGATGATATGTCCAATCATTAGCGCGCCCGCCAGCTCGGTCAAGTTCTCGCGCGTCCAGCCATGCCACCACATAGCAGCACCGACTGTCACCGACGCATCTGCGACCCGCCCACAAAGTACGATGTCTGCGCCATTTCTGAAGCATTCGGCAATACCTGTGCCACCGAGATAACATTGTGCGCAAACAGGGTCGAACCCCCACTCTTGAATGGGCTTATTTGCAGGGAGATTGGGAAACGTTTCGCCTTTGACTTGTTAGTAGTTGTTGTTGGGCATGTGAAGTCAAATATGGCATGTTACCCTTTTGATACAGATCCAGGACAGCGTCAGTCACATCATCGCCATCCACCACGCCAACCTTCAGGTCGACGCCGTGTTTCATGATCAGCTCCTTGACGGCCAAGGCGAGGCCATGGACGTCACTTGCTCCGGCGTTGACAGCAATTTTGATTCCCCGGCTCGCGAGATGGGGAATCGCAGGGTCCAACTCGTCCAAAAAATACGGCTCGTACCCCTTGGCGACAACGGTCGAGCCAGAAGACATCTTTTTCTGGGCGAGTCGGTCACGCTTGTCGGAGCCGCGGAGAGTCATGTTACACTCAGACATCCAATCGCCGGTAATGACATCGACGTCTTCATTCTTTGCCATGTCATGAATCGCCCTTTTACGATCGTAGACGCCTGAGGGTGTTAGGCCTGGTTCCTCACATCAACATTCAGATCAACGAGACTGACCTCCAGAGCAAGCTGCGATTTTGATGGGCCGCTTGGCAGTCTGCCCGTTTGCCCCCTGATGGCCATCGTTGGTGGCGCTTGGTGCCATTGCGTGGAATTCGTGAATTTAATTATGCAATCCGGAGTGTTTGTATTGTTGCGTTCAATTGGGGGTTTTGATCTGGTGGAATTGCAAGTACTAAGATTTAACTCTCATACAAGTGACAAAGGCTCACGATCAAGTACCTTAGCTATATACTTGACACCCGAAGCATTGATGATGAGCCCCGTGATTCGTGTTCATTCGCAACGGTGCCTCCGAGTAGCGGGGGAACACTGCTGAACTGTGCGTGTCTCGCTGGGGTGCACTAATGATTCAGTACCCGTAAAAAGGTATTTGGTGTGCTGGCGGGTATCGTTCCCGGGCTTCGGGGGAAGATTTACCTCGATCGCCCTAAACTTGACTCCACACCAATAGTTGACTCGGTCGAAGGCTGGTCTCGTCGGAATGAATCACTTGCTTGGCGATCATGAACCTGGTCATCTCTTCTATCAACCGGCAGTTGGCAGAGAGCACTGTCTTCAAAATGATGATCGAGAGATCAAGTGGACCGAAGACCGTACAAAGCTCTTGAGGGCCTTCGTAAAACGAGGTGCAGGGAGTGAAACTCTTCTACCTTGCTCTCATCTACTTATGCAAGAAACCTGCCACCAGCCTGAGAAATGACCACTCGATACCAGTGCGCAGATGTTTCGTGTCCCTGATGCTAGCCGCAATAGCATCACTTTTGACATGGACATCTTTCAGGTAGGCCTCGCTCTCATAGGCTTCCATTGTGAACAACCTTTCAACAGTGCCTTCGTCCTTCAGTATGCCGTAAACCAAAGTGCCTACTTCCTCTTCACGACCTTGATCCACCACGGCCTGCCAGTATGGAAGGGACGTACCAACACCTCCAACCATGTAATTGAGCTTCGCGATGATGATCCAAGGGTCGGTATGTTTATTGACCTGTTGCCGCGTGAACTGAAATGAATCTGATGGGTACGTGAGGATATGCATCGTTGGAGGCTTTGGTCCAAGATTTTCACCCAACCAGACCTGCATGGCGTTGACAGAGGGAAGAGACATGTGGTGATCGAAAGCAGCCTCGTCAATGTATCTTGCATACTCTGTCAGTGACGTTGCGTGTTTGGTCGTGGCTTGGGCGCGAACGTACTCCTCAATCACCCAGATGTCTGTTTCCCTAGCGACATCGCGCGATGTAAGGACGGCATATTTCAGCGTCCCGCCTTCGTTGAACAGGGCCTCATGGGCGGCTTTGGCTAGTTGTTTAATAAACTGTCATGGTCAGAGGTTATACGTTCTTTGTAGGAGCATGGCCCGTAGGGCAGGTCCTTACCTCGTCGCGTTTCGCCACTGACTCTGTTGACACAACCGCAATGACAAACTTGCGCTTGCTGAGGGTGGCCATTGTGCGATTCTTGTTGAATTATTTCAAGTTCTCTTTCTTCGCGCGCCCAAAAAGACCGCTACGCGGAATGTCATGCAGTTTAAGAGGCCTACTCTATGCACTGCTCCCCGCAATTCCCCAAGCCTCTCGCGTTTGCTTACCCGGCCGGCACCATCTCACGGGCAATCAAACGGACAAGGAAGTGACTGTGGTTGATCATCTATAGCTTGGAACTTATGTGCCGGTTTCCCAACTTTGACGAACACATTCCATCAGTCATGTGGATCAGCTATTTCCTCAGAATTTTGCCTGTAGCGTTCCTGGGTAGTTCGTCAACAAGCCATACCCCGCCTCGAAGCTTTTTGTATCCGCTGACTTGCCCGTCGACAACAGATTGCACGTCTCTCAGCACTTGCTGCTTCTCCTCTTCTGACAAGATCTCGTCTGTCTCCTTGAGTACCACCCATGCTGCGGGCAACTCCGTGAGCTGGCCATCATCCCAGAGCGCCCCAACACCCTCCTCGGCCACCAGCGGGTGGAGTTCACATATACCTCAAGCTCTGCAGGGCTCACTTGGAATCCCTTGTACTTGATAAGGTCCTTGGTTCGCCCAACAATGGACACTCTTCCTTCCTCATCTATGCGGCACACGTCGCCAGTGTTGTACCACCCTGGCATCGGAAAGGCTCGTTCGTTTGCCTCAGCATGGAAAGCATATCCTCTCAAAATGTTGGGTCCACGCAGCTACAACTCCCCTGTTGCACCATCTGGCACATCCTCCACCCCTCCCTCCTGTTTGAGACACGCCTCGATTCCGGGCAACAACTTGCCCGTGCATCCATCATATAGGACCTCGTGATATTCCTGGTACGCGACATAACCAGCTGCTTCCGTCATGCCGTAGGCTTGGCAAAGCCGCCATGGCGCTCGAGCCAGGAGTTTTTCGAGCTGAGCTTGCTTGAGCGGTGCACCGCCAACAGCTATGAGGCGTGCAACGGAGAAGTCGCTGTCACGTCCGAGTCCGCCAAGGCCAGGACAATACTTGGTACGCCCTGGAACGACGTGGCTTGCACGGAGCCAACCAGTCTGGCGAATCGCTCCAGATTGTAAACCGGCATCGCGTGGTGAAGCATGCCTGCGTATGGCCCGAGGAACAGTGGCGCTGTTGTGTTCGCAATGTGCGCCCACGGCGTGAAGGCAACGGTGCGCGAAGCCGGATGGAACATCTTGTGCCCCCCTGGTGCATCGAAGGCGAGGAGCTGCAAGACGTTTGCGACAAAGTTTTGGTGAGTGAGCTCGACGCCTTTGGGCTGACCTGTTGTTCCTGAGGAGAGATGAATGGAGGCCAGGCGGGTTGACGTATCGTCGAAGTGTGGGGTCGGAAGACGCCTCGCGGCGATGAGATCGGACGATATGTGTTTCAGTCCGGGAGCAGGAAGGACGATAGAAATCACAGGAGGTCGAGTCCAAGTCCCCTTTTCCTTGATGAGCATTTCGGCGACAAAATCGAGAGCCTGTTCGACCACAAGGACAACAGGGCCATAGGCGATAACGAAATGCGGGCGGGCGACGGCGAGTCCTTGACCTATTTCCGAATATCGTAAGGCATGGTTTACAGGGCAGACTACACCACCAGTCCACAGGATAGCGTGGAATATTTCGAGAAAATCTACGCTGTTTGGTAGCACGATGGCCCAGCGCGCTTGGTCTGGTGGGTTCAATTGGTCGTGCAGCCCTTTTGCGAGACGACCAGCTCGGTCTCGGAGCTCCCCTAGAGTTGCACTCCTGTTGGTGAGGCTATCAGAAGCTATGAGGTGTGATTCGAGAATAGGGAAAGCCGTGGTGTGCAATAGTTCAGTAAGGTTGAGGTCCCTAGGGATATTGATGTCGGATGACTTGTAGATTTTCATTTTGACAAGTTAAATGCGCTATTAATTAAGTTTGATCAGTGACGGAGCATGTCACTCGTGAAAGATGTGTATGTGATGAATACAGAGGTTCTCTCGGTGACATCCAGGGGCAAAACTTAGCCATAGCCACTGACACAGCCTGTTGTTAGACTCCTGCCTCTAGAAACCAAAGATTATCAGAGGCTGATGACAGCCGTGATGCAGGACAGGCACCGAACAATCACCAGGTAGCGTGCCAGCTACCCATGCCAATGATCCGTTAGCCCGGTGCCCAGTTATATTCTTCGCCGTAGCACAATCAGGGTTCTCTGCACGGGAGACCCTGAATGATGTCCAGGTGCCATTCTGAATCATTAGTGCTACCCCGCGTTCACGCCCCTTAACCCCTTTTCGTTGTCTGATGACCATGGAAAAGCGACTCCGCACCACCACTTTCGCAATTGACATTGGCGCCACTCAAAGCATGTCTACGGCGACCAAACATCACTTTGGTAATTGGCTTGCCGGCGATGCATCCGTGGTGGCCTTGCGAACCGCGCGCTGGAAAGGTGCTTCCATGACACAACACGGAGACCCCGAACGATTTATGGCTCCTGTCACAGCATGACTTGGGAGTCAGCAAACTCAACTTTGAGCTCTTCGAAATCGACACCATGTTCCGTCGACCTATTCGCATCGGCAACTGCTCTGGCGCAATTAATGATGGAATTGACCAGATTTATCGACTCGCGAAGCATGGCCAGGTCGACGCCATCACTGCCGACTACCTTGCTGAGTTTAACATCGCGTGGAAAGCCATAGAGCTTCAGACAGACCCCACGTTAGGCTATGAACCAAATTTTCTTGAGCAGAGTGCCTAGCACAATGGCGATGCAGCGCGGCTCGTCGCCGAGAAGCGTATCAAGATTGTGCACGATGGCGGAGCGCTCAACCCCCGAAGTCTGGCGGAGAAGACAGACGCCTATCTTCAGAGTATTGGCATCCACAACTTGAAGGTTGCGTGGGTGAGCGGCGACGATGTTACAGAGAAAGTTCGCAATGGCGCCTTTGGGAGAATTCCTAACCTGGATCAACCAGGCGTGCAACTGCGACTTGAGAACGAGAAGTTGCTGGCTGCGAATGTCTACACTGGATATGCTGGCATCGTCAGGGCTCTGGCAGAAGGTGCGGACATTGTCATCTGTGGGAGATGCACGGATGCTTCACCGGTTATGGGCCTCGCGGCCTGGTGGCATGGGTGGAGGACAACAGATTATGATGCGCTGGCTGGCAGCCTCATGGCTGGTCATCTCATTGAATGCGGTCCATACGTCACGGGCGGCAACTATTGCGGTCAACGCGAAATCCGGGACATGCAAAGATTGGGGTGGCCGATTGCCGAGATCGACAGCGCAGGTGGCATCGTTATCACGAAGCCTGAAGGCTCAAACGGCATTGTCACTGTCGACACATGCAAAGCACAGCTGTTGTACGAGATCCAGGGGCCAATATACCTCAACCCCGATGTCATTGCTGACAATCACGGTGTCAACCTCACGCAAATCGATACTGACCGCGTACGTCTCAGCAACATCAAAGGCCTTCCGCCACCGCCGACAGCCAAGCTTGCGGTGTGTCTACTTGGTGGCTTCCAAGCTGAGATCTCCATCTATGCTGCGGGACTTGACACGGACTGAAGTTCAATGTTCTCAAAACTCAAGTCCTCAAAACCATCGATCGATCCGCATTTACGACATTCACGATTGAAAAATACGGCACTGCACAGCATGATCCGCGCTCGCAAGCAGCTGCAACGGCGCAGTTCCGCTTTTTTTGCGCAGGGCACTCGGGCTGAGGCCTTTGACGACTTCAAGCGCGCCGTGTTCTACAATGGTCTCCAAGGTTTCTGCGGATTCCACGCGGGTATGGATTGGCGGACAATGGTACCGAGGCCGTATGTCAAGTACTTCCCGGCGTTGGTGCAGCAGGATAAGGTGCCAATGGTGGTGCATTTCATCGACGGCAAGAAAGACGCAGTGTTTATACTGGCGAGAGACGCAAAAGACTGTGGTCAAGTCCCGACACAGCCGACTGATGAGCCGAAAAGAGCCGCGTCGTCCTCAATCATGGGGAAGATCTTCCCTCCCGGGATGACGCGACGACCGCTGAGAGACCTCGTTTTGGCAAGAAGCGGCGACAAAGGAGGAAACGCGAACATTGGTTTCTGGGTCAGAGATGAAAGCGCATACGCATGGCTTCAAGGTTACTTGACAAGCCAACGTGTCAAGGAATTGCTAGGGGATGACTGGGACGCAAAGTATCAGATCGAGAGGTGCGAGTTTGTCAACTTGCAGGCGGTGCACTTTGTCATCAAGGGCATTCTACAGGACGGAGTGAGCAGCAGCAATGTGCTCGACGGATTTGCCAAAAGCATGGGCGAGTTCGTCAGGGCCCGAGTCATCGAGATGCCAACTGAGCTTGTCCAGAAAGAAGCAGAGCGGAGGGGAATGTTAGCGGCTCATGCCGGCCGGCCAAAATTGTGAGCCTGAAGCCAGCCAGTACAACAAGGAACTTGTAGAAGCCAGTCGGCCCAGACTGTATGCGTGAGGCGCCTCAATCTGTGCAACAGTTGAAAGCAGCCTGAGACGATCCGAGATTGCCCGTTAAGGCTGGCCGACATTGAACACCGCGAGTGCTGAAGTAAGAACAGTTGATGGCACTACCGGCCTCGGTTGTCTTTAGCACGAAAGCAGACCGACCACCTGACGCTACAATGCCTCCCCCCCTGGTGACCGTTTTCTGGTTCAATATCCTTGGGTTAAACCCGTTGAATGCCCGGGGATGAGGGACCGAGCCAGCGGGACATGCAACCGAGGCTACTCTGGGGAAGCCGGAGTCACATGAGCAACGAGTTCACAACAGGCCGTCCCAGATTCCCTTGCTCCGGCCCCTGTCGGCACTCAATCATGCGATGCGATCTGAGTCACCCCCACCATAGAAATCATAAGCTCCCAGACCGCCCCCTTCATCCCACGTCACCGATCATGTCAGTCAACACCACCGACGAGCCCACCAAAAACGCATCAGGCTGATACGACAACGTCGACTTTCGAAAGGCAGCTGGCTACAAATATCCTCCCATCAAGTGCAGCTACAACCGGCGCGATGTTCTTCTCTTCGTTAGTACAGGCCTAGTGACTCTTACACCCATGACGAAACCCCACTATCGCCAGAAGTTCCGGGCGACTAACACCACAAACAGGCCAATGCGATCGGCGTTCCCAAGGACTCGCTACATCTCTTATATGAGCTTCACCCCGCCTTCGCCGCGTTCCCGACCTTCCCCATCAACCTCGCCTTCAAGCAGACAGACCAGGATATCTTCGACTTCATCGCGCGCACAACGACAGGCGGCGTTCCAGGCGTTCCGCCGTTCGATGCTCAACGTTCTGTAGATGGCGAGCGCGCCATTACGCGGTCTTGCGGCAGCTGCCTGTCTCCTCAGACGGCCTCGATCTTGAGGTCCGCGGCCGCGTCATTGGCGTCTACGATAAAGGTGGCGCCATGATCCTCGAAGCCGAACAGACACTCGTGGACGCCAACACGGGGGTTGAGTACACGAAAATGGCGAGCACAGCGTTTGGCATCGGTCAGGGCGGATACGGCGGGCCAAGGGGGCCGACGAAGTCGGCGGTCAGCATCCCCGCTACGACACCGGACGCCGTGCATGTGTATCATACGACCGAGACAACAGCTTTGCTGTACAGGCTGTGCGGCGATTACAATCCCATGCACGCCGACGAGGAGTTTGGCAAGAGGGCTGGGTTTCAGGGGTCGATCTTGCATGGGCTTGGCACGTGGAACATAGCGGCTCAAGGGCTGCTGCGAGAGATGGGAGGGTCAGACCCAAGAAGATTCAAGTCTTTTGGTGCACGATTCAAAAGTGTTGTCTACCCGGGAGACACTCTTGTGACCCGCATGTGGCGAGTGGGTAACGAGGGTAATTTTGACCTCATCCTTTTTGAGACGGTGGTCAAGGAGGACGGAAGGGTTGCCTTGTAAGTGCTGATCAGCTTGATGTGGCTTGATGATGTGCTAATCAGAGCCCACAGATCTAATGGGTTTGCAAAGATACTCCAGCGAGATGCCAAGCTGTAGTTTTACCACGGTGATGAGGAGTCAGACTAATCGAGGCACGGGCGGCTGAACATCTCGTCCTGGATAGCAGTGTCCGACTCAAATCGGGGAGGTTTATGAAGTCATGATTGTAGCGTTTTTGATCTCTATGAAGTAGTCCCCCTTTTTGTGCTATTGAAGTATCCCTGAAATTCAATTGGATATCTTTCACAACGACTGCAAAACGACGCAGTCTAATATGACTTTGCGATCAACCTTGCGTAGGTATCGAAGCTAACACTGATTGATGTTGTCATTCCATCTCAAAGGTGCGAGGGCACCCATTTTGGTTGTCTCTTCTCCTTGTATGCATTCAAACCTTCGTCAACGTCCGGTCCTCTCAACATCTTGTCCGCCCACAGCTCCTGTCCCCTCATCGCGGCCCTGCTGACCCCGTTTCCCAAACCTCCCTTGCCGACAGGCGCGAAATAATAACGCTATCTGGACTTAGACTTGCAATCTCTTCAGCATAGTTCAAAGCTCTACTCAGCAACTTGCCCTGCGGTACAATCTCCTTAACAAGCCCCCACCGCTCGGCCTCTTCAACACTCATCTACCGCCCAGTCGGGATCAGATCCATTGTCCGATGATTTCCGAACAAAAACATAGCCCTTGGCAGTGCCCCCGCCAACGCCGAAACTCCTCTCAAAACCCAGGTTCTTACGAGAGGCGTGAGTATATTATAAACTGATGTGCTTAATTCTCCCGAGTACTCCTACGTAGCCTTTCGTTAGCCTCACTCCAACTTGCCAAGCAACTTAATCAACTCCAAAGGATGTCAACAAAGTCGAGTTAGCACATGAGCTTGAGAGAGCTGGCGACGGAAGCGTTGCAGTGAGAGATGACGCATCTTCCATACGTTCTGAGGCTCTGGGAGACAACCTCCCTCCTGGCTATTTTTACTCTCCGCGGTTCATTGGCTGCATGACGGTTGGTTGAGCCAGCGCATCACACATCAAAGTACTTGTTAATTAATCTAGGGTTTTTGTCTTTCGGCAATTTCCGCTTACATCTTTCTTATTTTGCCAAGTAATGTCCTGACGTATATCAACGCCGACATTGGTGAGTGCAATGACATTGACACTCGTTCCTCTCAGATGCACTGCCTTCTCCTGGGGTGGCAGCATGTACCCCTGGAAATCGGCGGCGACAATCCCGAGCCTGGCCATCGGCGGGAATCTCCTTGTCGCGCTATTCTTCTGGGAAGGCTACGCGGACCTGAAGTATCCTGCCATCCCCATCAATTTTTTTCCTCAATCGGGGCTGGTTTAGCCTGGTCATATGTGCGACCGTCGCAAGTATGAGTTGGATATGTTCGTGCATGATCAAAGTGTTCTGACAGGGGTAGATGTTTTACTACTCGGCTGTCCTGCTCTGGCCTCAACAAGTTCAGGCACTGTACACGCGAGACATCACATACGCTGGGTGGCTTTCTGTAAGGGCTTCAGCCTGCCGTGAAGAGGAGCTCTACAGCACTCGGGCAAATTGTAGCGGGCGCCATCGTCAAGTGGGGAGGTACTGTCCGGTACTGGATCATCTTCTCGACGTTCGTCATGGTGGGCTTCGTAGGCGCTTTAGCGTCCCTGACCCCTGAGACGAAGAACACTGGAATCGCCCTGACCATCATCGGTCCTTTCTTTGTCGGTTTCATTGAATTAGCAGCTCTGGCCCTGGCACCCTTGTATTGTAAGCCGGCAGATATCGGCCTTGCGTCGGGTCTCTTGGCATCGATCCGGTCAGCAGGAGGTTCCATCGCGGTCACCGTTTATACGACCATCCTGGCTAACCGACTCTCGACGACCATCCCATCGAACATTGCCAGGCCAGCGATTGAGGCTGGCTTGCCGGCGGACCAGGTTGGTGCTCTTGCCGCTGCTGTGCGCGCAGGTAAGCTGGCCACGTTTCCAGGTATCACCGACTCAATTCAGGAGGCTGTGTGGTCTGTTCTGCCTGTAGCCTATTCACAGGCATTCAAGACAGTCTATCTGGCAAACCTGGGATTCGGTGGCATTGCCATAGTCGGGTGCCTATTCTCGAAGGATGCGCAGAAGCACTTGACAGACCGTGTTAAAAGGCGAATGGGGGATGGAAAGAGAAAGCCTGATTTGGAGGCGAAAACGGTTAAGACCCACCACCCCCCAACCGCCCACCCCCCTAACCGCCTACCTAAATTAACGAGAAACGAGTAGTATAAAATAATAGATAAGTTTAATTACTCGCTATAATAGGCTTAAATTAATAAGAATTCTAAGTATTATAGCTCGAATTTAGCTTCCTAATCCTTTAAAGCTATTATAGAAGGTATTACGATTTATTTTACTCGAGTTTAAGCTATTTAAATTGCCTTAATATTAGTAAACCGCTTATTCGGATTTAATATTACCTTAAGCTTTTTATAGGGCTTATATACCTTTAATTAAGCACTTAATAAAGCGATCTAAGTACTCGCTTTTATTAATTTAATATCCTTTAAATCGATATACTTCCTAGCCTTTAAGAATAAGCGATATATAGCCCGTACTATTAATTTAGGTATTATACGCTTATGAGATAGTGAAAAATAGCCTTTCTAGAGATCGCTTAAGCTCCTTAGTATTACTATAATAAAGTTAATATAATTATAAGCTTTTTAAAGCGTTTTCGGAGTCTTTAGATAGCCCTCGTCTATTATTTAAGAGCTTAAAAATAGCTATTATAGATTTATAAGCTATAGGCATATTATACGTTATTTACTATATATATTATTCTTTATAATAATATCTTTTCGAGTTTTTTAATAATAATAGAGGAAATTACGTTTATTAATTAATAAGCTATTAAATAAATAAATTATAGCTTTAAGATATTTATAATAAGCTACTTTTAAAGGGCTAAATATTAAGAGGTTAAGAGGCTATATAATATAATTAGAATAAATAGGAAATAGAAGAAGGAAGATATCCGCTTAATAATAAGTTTATAGAAATATATCTAAAACGTAGCTTTTATAGCTATTTATTATAAAGAAGTAAAGAGATTATAGTTTATTAGCCTTTATTTATATAAATAGAATAAAGATATTCTTAAGCTATTCGAGGCTTATAGTATTATTTATTTATCTATTTATTATAATTATAAATCTCTAGCCCTTAAAGCTATTAAGGGGCTCTAGAAACTATTATTATTAAACTATTTTATTTCTAAAAATAATAAAAGGAGGGAGGGCTTTACTTTCTATAAATATATATTTAACGATAATAATCTATATATATAATTTAATTATTTAAATATAGATTTTACGCTTCTTAGCGCTATTAAGAACGAGGCCGTTAATATTTATACCCTCTATAATTCTTATCTTATTTATATTCTATCTTAGGGCTAAGGGAATAGCTTTAAAATTAAAGTAAGCGAGAATAGCGAAGAAATCCTTAAATATTTAAGCTATAATTCCTTTAAAGTAATTCTTTTTAATCCTCTTATTTATTAAAGTCTTAATAGAGGGATTTCGTTTAAGAAAAGCATTTATTTAATATATTCTAAGGAGCGATATATCGCTTTATATTAATAGGATCCGCTAAATAAAATTATATATTTAATTATATAAAGCGGCGAAGCTTAGAGCGCTTTATTCTATAATCTAATAAGCGAGATAGTCTTCTTAAGCCCTCGAGAGCCTTTAAGTATCTTCTCGAGCAATTAAGCGCTCTATAATATTATTAAGCATTCCTCGAAGCATTAATATAAGTATATTCTAGTCGTATATAGCTTTACGCCTAGCTATATTACGCTTAATTAATATTAGTATATATCGTAATCGAGGTAGGAGGTATTAAATAACGACTAAGGGTATAGCTTAATTATAGAATAAAGAGATAATAATAGATAAGAGGAAGGGAGAGATAAAAGTAATTATATCTCTAGAAGGAGATGTCGGGTCGAGAAATAGATCAAAGATTCTTATAGCCCTTAACGAGAGCTATAGAATAGTATATTTTTCGTTTAGATCGAAGGTAGGTAAGTAAAGGGGTAATTAAGAAGAAAGTTATAATTAATTAAGAGAAATACTTAAATTAATCCTAATAGGAGTAAAGCGTATCTTAGAAGGTATCCGTTCTTAATAGTTAAGAATATATAAATTAGATAGGAATTACTATATAAAGGGGACTTACGAGTATTATTAGAATTAGATAATTATTAAGATCTAAAAACCTAAAAAATAGGTCTAGGGGGTACCCTCTATATATAATAGACTGACCCTTAATAGCTATACGTGGATAAGGCGCTTAGACTACCTCTAGACTTATAGGGGAAGTAGAGTCGGATTTAAACTCTAGCTAATAGGGTATAAGAGAACTTAAACGCTTATTACTATAGAACGGCTCTATAGAATATTATAAAGATTATACCGTTCTATAGCCACGGTTTTTCTATATTTTATAATATATATATTATTATAGTTTAGCTTTTATTTAAGCTACTAGAGTAGTTATAAGATTCTAACCCTTATAACTCCTATAATCAAGGCTAGAGTATTTAAAATATCGTCTTTAATATATCTCTTTATTCTAAATCTAATAGTATAATTAGCTAAACTATATAATAAAAATTAGGAAAGATATCGTAAGAAACCTATTATTCTAAGAGCGCGTTTTAGGTAGTGAAAATAGTTAATTTAGGTGGGCGGTTAGGGGGGGTGGGCGGTTGGGGGGTAGTGGGTCTTAACGATGATCCTCGTCGGGAATCAAGGGAGATCCAGGAAGGTGCCTAGCTGTCCCAAGCTGTACATGTTACGGCGCAGCGTGGACCATCGCGCAAGCTGTTATGCTTGCAGGATAGGGGAGGGATGAACTCTTGATATCAGAATAGTAAACCATTGTTCAGGGAGTTCGGATCGGTATGAGACCTGATCGTTGAGTTGAGTAAAGTCAGCGGCTGGCTACGGGCATCATCAGTCGCAGCGCTGCCCTGCGAAACGTCGCCATGACGCTAAAGCCACTGTAGGCGCGCCGTGGCTTATGACGGTGGCCTCCTCTACCCCGCGTCTGTACTTGGACCTAATTCCGCTAAAGTCAAGTCAGTCCCAAGCTTTGAGAACCTGAAGCCAGCCTCCAGAGCACAATACACACGCAAAGTTCGTCTGCCACGAACATCTATCTGATACAATAATGTTTCTGGGCAGTGATTCACTTCTCGCGCAACATGAATACCTCTCGGACGCCCAAGCCGCCTCGTCGGAACTCCGTGGCCCGATCAATGAATTCGGCGACATCACCCTCCTCCGACGGTTCGACAGCTGCCCAAAATGGGATCTCAAGTATCGAATCTCAAGATCTTGAGCTTCAGAAAAAGCGAGCACGGGACCGAAAATCCCAACAGGCTATGCGAGATCGTAACAAGTGGGCGATTCACAATTTGACGGAACAAGTCGCAATGCTCACCCGCGCCGTCGAGGAACGAAGCCACCAGACAGCCGCCCTCCATACTCGTGTGGCTACTCTTGAAGTCGAGAATTCACAGCTGCGGACACAGAATGCCGCGCTCCAGCTCAGCTTGATGGGGCGAGAGGGTAGCACCACACCTTCGAGTGGACTGCTGACCATGAGTCGCGAGCCCTGGGAGACAGCACCCAAGAACGCACCATCCACGTGCCTCGCAGATGAGATACTACAAGGCTTCATTGCTTCTGTCAGGACTGACAACTTGCTGTCGGCAATGAGCGTGACGGAAAGGGCAGCAGCGTACTCTCTGAAGCCCAAACTCTGCTCACTCATCGAACCTGACAGGAGCACGGAGGATGACATTAGCAATGTCGCAGCGGATATGGTGCGATCATATCCCGAGATCGAGACGCTGCCGAAGCAGGTCGCTGTTTTCTGGAACATGGTACTGCTTCTCAAGGTCGGTTCGGGCTTTGGTGCCCACTTTGAATCATTGCATGCCTCGCTAACATTGGCCCAGTGGATGGTTCTCCTAGATCAGCAGAGTTGGGATCTGATGCCCGAATGGCTGCGTCCGACCCCAAGCCAACGCGAAACTCCCCACGCAGCCTGGATCGATCGCATACCTTGGTAAGGACGTCTGTTCAGTTCATCGGAGCAAAGAGTACCTGCTAACAAACCCACAGGCCTCGAGCGCGTGAATACCTGATCGCACACCCCGACATCACTCTTGATGACTGGGCTGCCCCCTACAGCTCAAGCTTTGACGTAAGCTGGACATACGATCCTTCGCTTGTGGTCATAGCCTGCATAGCGCCTGATTCGGGCAATCCTGAGCTGTCGATTAATCCTGTCTACGAAGAGCACCTGCGACAACTCAGGAATTGGACCGTGGGCGACGTTTTCCGGCAACAATTTCCAGAAATTTCAAAACTTGTCGACGAGGATACTGCATCCTGAGCTGGAGAACAGCCCTGCTTTCCTCTGTACACACCAGAAGAATGGGTGACTAAAGCAAGACCTCACATGACTACGCCGCTGTCCCCATCCCAGTTTACTCAAGGCTGTCGATTCGCGCTACTGATTCATTGCAGCTCCTTGGCCTGCCTGTGAGAGCCGACTGACCAAAACGCGGAGTATGATTCCCGACCAGCAATGCTCGGAGGAGTCACCACAGTGAGATCAGCAGCCAGCGATTAACCTTACAGAACCAGTGGTCCCACTGAGGGCCAGCAAATCTATGCATCTAGAACGCTAGGAATCCATCCAAGCTCACGCCTCGTCAATGAGACGCAAGACATGCTCGCTACCAACAGATCCTTCCTCCACGAACTCTCTTGTCAAAGGACAGAATGATTATCATTGCATGGTCTCACACACTGATTTAATCAAAATGGCCGACCTTCGTATCTATCACTCACCCTACCCTAGCATTAAGGTGCCAACCAACCTTTCTGTCTCCCAGTTCCTCATCCAAACGAATCCGGATGATGTGTCACCGGAAAAAATCATTTGAAAAGACTTTGGCGATAAAGACCAAAAGGTCACATACGCTGGGCTTCGATCCAACGCTGCCTTCGATGCGGCAGGTCTGAGAGAGATGCTGGGCCTGGAGGTAGGCGATGTTGTGTGCATCGTAGCCACTAATTTGGCCCTGTGGGCCTCTCTTGCGCATGCCATCCTTTGGGCTGGGGCGTGCTTCTCGTTAGTGTCCCCCTGCTTTACACTATCTTCTTGAGCCATCTCTAAAAGCAAACTGCAGAGGCATCAACCCGCAAGCTACAAGTCATGAACTCGTCCACTATTTCTCTGTTGCCCGACCCAAATTGATAGCAGAGGATGCGGGACAGATAACAAAGATAAGGTTGCGATAAAAGAATCACATTGGTCCTCGGAGCCAAATATCATAGCTATTGGGGGGTCTTCAAGCATTGGACCTGACCTCCTCAGGGTGAGCCTAAGTGCATCCACGCATCCAACTGGTGGGATTACACTGATGCACTGATAAATAGCCAGTATCCTTGTGATATTCGCAACGCTACGGTTAGTCCATTGTACCCGTTCGACATATCGAATGGCGACAACACAAAAATACCGGCAGGCATGTGCTTCAGCTCCGGCACGTCTGGCAAGCCTAAGGCGGTCGTCTTATCCCACCACAACCTTATCGCGCAACTCCTTAGCGTGCGTGCAACAAACCCCTTCACCCACACCTTGACTAGCCGCGAGCCTTTCTGCCCCTCTTTTGCACATATTTTTATGGCATTGTATCCGGTGTTTTAGCTCCCGCCTGGATCGGTAATTACGTGCAACCGATGAGACGGTTCGAGTACCGTCCATATCTCCAAAGAGCCGCTGAGCTGAAGGCCAACATACTGCGGCTGGTGCCTGCGACGGCTGTGAGGATGACGAAAGACCCAGAAATCAAGAATCTTGATCCGAGTGCCGTTCACACCGTCATGTGCTCTGGCTCACACTTATCCAGCGATACCGTTGTGGCACTCCATCAAATCTTAAGCCCAGAAGCAACAATGCTCAACGGCTACGGCATGAGCGAGGCAACCGTGACGCTCCTCCGCAACACTCGCGGTGGTCAAAAGGGTGCCAGCGTCGGGAAGCCAGCTGCGGGCATGGAGGTCCGCATAGTGGACGAAAATTACAACGATGTCCAAGCGGGAGTTGATGGAGAGTGTCTTATTAGAGGGCCGTCGGTTTTTATGGAGTACAAGAACAACGTAGCTGAGACTGCGGCAGCATTTAGGGGTGGATGGATGTGTACTGGCGATATTGTTCATGTCGATCAGGACGGTTATTTCTGGCTTACCGGTCGAAAGAAGGAACTCATCAAGTACAAAGGCCATCAGATCGCCCCAGCGGAGCTCGAAGCAATACTGCTTCCCCATCCATCCGTCACAGATGCCGGTGTCTGTGGCGTTAGGGACGAGGCTACGCAGGAAGAACTCCCAGTCGGCTTTGTTTCCCTCTCCACGGCCATGAGTAACAGAGATAGAAGCCAGACAATGGAACGTCTGAGCGTTTTCATGGATGCGAGGGTCTCATCTTACAAGAGGCTCAGAGGTGGGCTGTTCTTGGTCGAGTCACTGCCCAAGAACAGCTTGCCAGAGCTGTTGAGAAGAGAGCTTGTCCGGCTTGCGGAGCGTTTGAGGAGCTCACGAGCTAGAATATGATCTAAGTTAATATCACACCTGCATATCTGCAAACTTAGCCGTGGGCCAGCGGTTGAATGGTCTGCTCCCCACTATCTAATTCAAGGGCAGAGAGAGATCGTGGTCCAGAAGCGCAAAAAGATCAAGCAAAAACATACAACATCAGGGATTCGCTGGTGGTCACCCACCCAACTACTAGTCCGACCCTTACTGGCTTATCTATGGGAGAGCGGACGGGATCCCGAGTTCTCCAGTAGGTATGGTCGTATGTGATGGAATCCAGCGGTTCGAGTGTTCATAACAGCATCTAAGCCAAGATTCCCCAGCTTTCCTGCCAACAGATCCAGCACTCGAACTTGCCTTCCATAAAAATGTCGAAGTCACTCCATTGAAAGTCTTTGGAAGAACTTTAATGTGAAAGTAGCATTACTTCGAGGCAGACTCGATTTCCAAGAGTCAGGGACACCGTTTGGCAATCGGATTGCGTTTCCACATGAAAAGCAGAATGACCCATGACTGCTTCAACGAGGGGGGGGGGGGGGGGGGGGGGGGTGCTCTTCCAAGTCATCACAATGTGCATGAAAAGTAAAGGCGATTCAAAAACTAGTTTTCTGGGAACGTCGAGAAGAAAAGGTTGATTGACGTGGAGTCTGGCTAGCAATTCCATCCCCCATCGATGCTCACTGCAGTCCCGGATATGTACGTGGATTCATCGCTCAAGAGAAAGGCAATAAGCTTTGCTACCTCTTCTGGCGTTCCGAGCCGTGCCATAGAGATCTCAGGTCCTATTGGGCCTGAGTTCGCGCTCCTCAACATGGGCGTGTCGATGCGACCCCTATCACTGGATCAGCAAAGTGTAGCCAGGGACAGGGCGTAGAGACTCACGGGCATATAGCATTTACTCTCACCTGCCTCGCCCCGACCTCTTTCGCCGCACTCCTTGTCAGCCCCACCACAGCATGCTTGCTTGCTGTGTAGGCTGCATTGTTTGCTCTGCCTGTCAAGCCGGCGATGCTACTGGCGTTGACAATGGAACCCCCATCGTTGATGATTTTCAGCTGCACCCGGAGACAATGCATCACGCCTGTCAGATTGACGCCCTGGACAAAGTCCCATTCGTCAAGGTCCTGTTCTGACAGAGGTTTGATTCCGATTGACTTCGGTATTACACCAGCGAGATTGGCGGCACCGTCGAGTCTACCGAAGTGCGAAGCGGTATCTGTCGTCCATATTTCGACGGCATCACAGTCGCGAACGTCGAGAACGGTGATGGAAAGCTCTGAGTTCGGATGAGCCTCTAGGATAGCGCTTTTAGCCTCTAGAAGGCCTTTTTCTTGGACATCAGCAAGGGCCAGACGGGCGCCGCGGCCAGCCAGGAGGTGAGATGTCGCCAGGCCGATACCTGAGGCTGCACCTGTGAGGGCAATGACTTTTCCCGCAAAATGAGTAGGGGAGAACATGACGGGCACAACAGCTGAGACTCGAAGTTTCGCAAAGAATGCTTGCCGACTCGAAGATCAATACCTAGAAGCAGAGCACGGAGGCTGCATAAATACGACTAAATAAGGTAGATGGTGCGGCAGAAGGTTTCCGGCTGGGAAAAGGGGGCCATGTGGCCCCGCACTATCCGTGGCATCAGGCCGAAGGGGCACATCGCCCGGGCCGCCTTCGCAAGCTTCCCGTTCGAGGTGTGCCCCTTTCGAAGGAATTCGCGGGGGATTGGAACATGCTCCGCCCTCAGATACTCGCAGAGATTTTTTGCCAGAGTGTCCAGTTTGACCCTGAGTTGTAGCCTCTGTCGAGATGATCCTTGAGCAGAAAATGGACAGCTCGAATGTTCTTCATCTCGAAGCGGTCAATCCGTCCACCGTGATATTTTTCGGGACCTAGGAGTTCTTGGATTTTGTTGGCTGTAAGGAAAGACCGCAGCCAGTCCCATTCTTCGGCGCCGCTGACGAAAAACCCAACATTGGCGTCAGATGCTTTGTCTCCAGAGCGACCCAGCGCAATATAGCCAAGGGGCGCTTCGATTGTGTCTCCAAAACTTCCGCAAGGAACTGTTTTCTCCGTTTCATACGACTTTTGGGGCCCGTATTCGTAGGTTATTGGCGGTGCTGGTATATTTATACTTGGTTTATCGCCGTACAGAAAATGTACCCGATGCTCGCAAACTGACTGCGGATTTGACGTGACAAAATACTCCAAGTAAATCTTCGCGGCCGATTGCCTGAGGTCATTTGAACGTGAAACACCCTGTAAAGCCATGAGCATCGCTTTCGTGATAGTCGAGGTGGCAGAGCATACCGGGCAAGATTGCAATACCGTTTCATACAAGTTTCCTTGCAAACCCGTCAACCGACGTAGGGTCGAACAAGGTCGCATCCTGAGCCTGTGCAAATATTCGGAAATCAACCGTTGCGAGCTCTTGATTCCGGGGGTTGTCTGGCGAGTTGCCGTGGACGTGAAACTTTACCATGGTGAATCGATTGATCAATTCCTCTCCGATGGCAAATCTCGCCTGCCCTTCCATCCATCTACACTTTTGTTCGATGTCCAGTCCAACGAGGTAGAAGTGCCATTCAGCTGGGTAACCCCCGTGAGCGGTGATTCCGCACCGAGTTGTTGGGGGAGGGAGGAGGGAGGCCTTTGACGCCACACACACGGACTCGATCCTTACCAATTTGCTCCAGTGTAATGCCTTCAAGGACAGAAACAACGTCAGAATTAAAGTAGAGCGGCCCATTGATTTCGTAGACGAGCTGCGAGGTCACTGTCTCGACGTTGACGATGCCATTGGATATATCCTCCTTGTGATGGTGCATGTCCCATCTGAGAACACCTCGGCTATGGGGAACCCCAGATCCAGATGCTTCTTCGCTTTCATCAGGTCTTTGAAGCGGCTGTAGTAGCCACCAGTGACAAAAACTGAGCACTCGATCAGGTGTCCAGCTACCAGAGCTCCTGCCAGCTCGTCTAAATCTGAAACTCTCCAGTTGTGCCACCAAGCTGCGATTCCGATCGAAGGTGCAGCATCGGAGACCCTAGCTTGAATCAGCTTGTTTTTCATAAGACGATGAATGCCAGAACGAACTGACCTGCCACAAATGATAATGTCTGCCCCTTGCCGTAGCGCTTTAGCGATTCCCAAACTTCCCAGGTATGCTTTTGCGCATATTGGGTCAAATCCCCATTCGTCCAAGATCCTTTCATCCGTCACACTCCTAAAAGTCACCCCCTCAGCAACCAGGCGCTTGAAGGCTAAGGTCACACCATCGCCCTCAACCAAGGCGACCTTCATATCGAAGCCGCCTCCCAGCACCATGTCGTTCACGACCTCGGCCAGAAGTTCCGTGTCGCTTGCTCCAGCGTTCAGAACCAACTTGGCGCCGTTTCGGGCGATTTCAGGAATTGCTGGCTCGAAGCATTGGAGGAATGTACTGGCGCAGTGGGCTGTCTTCTTTCGTTTTTCAAGGGGCAGCGTCGTGCTTGCTTTGTCAGACTGGACCTTTCGTGCCTTTCCCGCTCCATATCCGGTCATGACGTTCTCGAAAGCCAATCCCCAACAACGGCGTCGACTTCGGGGTCGGCAGCAAGGCGCCTGATGCCGGCAACTCGGTCAGTGAAGCCGCCCGATGCTCCACCTATGCGCACTGGACGTTTCGGTGTCACTGAAGCCGCCATGGTGTCTTTTCACACATGTTACTGCCTGTTGATGTCGAGTGTCAAGTTCTTTACACGTGGTCTGGAAGAAAAAAAAGAAATCCCCGGAAAGGCGAGGCAGTGAGCTTTCAGTGGTGTCGTGAGGTGGTAGGGGGCAGCATGGACAAAAGGAGTGGTCAGACGTGAGCACTTCACGCTAAAGATTCATCGGTACAGCTTGCAGATCCAGCGTCAAGTGCGGCGACTCCTGGATATGGAAAAGAGGCGGAAGCTGTCCGGAGAGCTTTCTATTTGGTACTGGTACGAACCTGTCGTCGGAAGGTTTGTGACCATAAGCTGGCAGGACACGTGTCGATCATTCAGTTGAGTTGAATATAACAGGATGGGTGTATCGCGTCTCAGAGGCCGGAGGGAATACTCTGCCGCTTCGATGTCATGATGTGTCTTCACTACTCGAGTGTACGCTGTCCAAACCCCATAATCCACTCGTTTCCACGTCGAATGGTGGCTGCTGCTTACCTAGGTGACCGCAGTCAAGCAAGGCACCCCTAGCTACACCCTATGAGGCGCGAGTTCAAGTCCAACTTCACATATAGGCACATTGGCTGATGCAGATACTGGGTCTTACGATCATTTTTCTACTGTTTGAATCTAAAGGTAGTCCTAGTTTCTGACGACTCCCCACCCCCCGCCCCCCTTGATTGCGGCCGAAGAGCCTGCATCAGCATTCGCAAGACCTGGCCTTACCCAAGTCGAGTGCTTGTTCCACGCAATAATCGCAAGGGATATAGATAGCCTCTTCTCTTATTCTCAAGTCAGGGCTCCATTCCCAGGTGCTGCAGATGTCATGTTAGCCAGCCTCCTAAGCATGCGTAGTCCCAACCCCACCTTCCTACCGGAAAGCAACTTCAGACCCCTTCAGAAGCACTGCGCTTCTCACTGCTATCGTCCTGGACCTCAGCCTTGAGTTCATGATCATCGAATTTGCCAGTCGGGAGATCGTGTTCACTATCCTGCGGGACCTGGTGCGTCTCCCGAGCGCGGGGGTATCCTACGGCAATGCCATTGTTGCGCTTGTCGCGAGCGAGCTTCTCTGTTCCCCGCTCCTCGTGCCTCGCGCACGCGATGCAGACAGGCTTTCCCAAGGGTGCAATGGGGCCAGCCGTGACGACTAGAGCACACGCAGCGAGGAGCAAGCCACGAATAACGGTGGACGTCTTCATGATGCGGCTCGTTACTTCCCTAGAGTTAGAGGCATACGCGTAAACGCGATACTGTGTAGACCTATGATGAGATGAGTGGTTGGGGTGAATACTGTTGGAGGAGGTGGAGGTGGGAAGAAAGGTGTGTGTATTGGGAAGCTATTGTGCAGGGCAGGAGCGTGCCTGGAACTAAGCTATGGGAGGCACGAGGGCACGAGTCAACTGGCACCAGGTGAAAGCCACTGACGAGGTGAATGCCACTATACACAAATACTTGCGCCGCATATATCTGTATCTCGCGTCGTGCCAGGACTCGGCTCCTTTCCATGCCAGCCTGCCATTTGGTTCTTGCCATACGCAAGGAGAGATAGCTGGAGGTGGGAGCGAGAAGGTTGAGAAGCCCGAGGTCGATGAAAGACCTGCCCAGCGTCCTAGCCAGCTCCTTCCTTCAGGCATGCACGGCATGCGCGATGCTATTCCCTTGACTGACCACGACATCAATGACGACCACCGACGAACCTACCGATCAGGTGGCAAAAATATTCGTCTGTTCAAAGAACAGATACGGTGCCTGAGGACCGTGAGATGTTGGGGTGAGCCGGGATCGAACCAGCGACCTTTAGATTGACTTCCTGAAGTTGACTTCAGTCTAACGCGCTCCCAACTGCGCCATCCCCCCTGAAGGCGAAGGCGCCCGTGGCAGAACAGGTCCTGAATGCATGATTTGGTGGGCGAGGGCTCACTGTGGGTAGGACAGATTGCAAGCCCCGCCGTGGTGGGTTCACTCGACGGTCTCACCATGTTGAAATTCATTGCATTCGCTTTGGGGCCGACAATACAGCCAGTCCAGGACACAGCGTCGCACGCCATTCAACGAAAAGAGTCTCTTCACAGGCATTAAAGATACATTAGGTTAGGGTTGGGGTTATGTACGTTATTAAACACCACATCTCGCGCCTAGAAAGTGGCGGATTGTGGCGAACAAATCTATCTATCATGCTTTACAAAGCGACTTTGGGCCATGCGCTACGCTTCTGCATTTTGGATGTACAAAAGAGCAGAATGGGCCTCATCTTTTCTATACAAATGCGATCGACACCATACCCGTCTCGTATGACAAGGTAATCGTTCGTGCTTGTGATAGTGCCGTGTGTGCGTGCGTGCGACTGTAGCCTCTGGAAGAGGCAAATGAGTGCAGACGTACGCCACCGTTTTCCGTGTCTATGCCCCACCGGGGATCCTAGAGATGCAGGGCAAATATGTCCTGGATGTCCAGTGGTCCAAGTGTGGAGTAATGGAGGATCGTCCCCAAGATGAAAA